ATTGAAATATGTGGAAATAAACAGAATATGCAACCACAAATCCCCATTTCAAGCCTCTTCACAAAGCCTGACTCAGTTTTCAAGCTGCTGTTCAGGAAAAAATGCAAATACAGGTTTAGGAACCCAGCACAACTGAGCTCTGTGTTCATAAGTCCTTCAATGTAGACCAAAGGTCTCTGTGGTTCAAAATCATCTAGTGCAATGCTAAGTAATGCACTCATTGCTTTTGCTGACTTTCAGTAAACCAGGAGGATGCCAGGCTGCCACTATCAGAACATCTGCTTCACTGGAAAAGTATTTCAGCAGCCCCTGCCTTGTAATAAATGATGCGATCCTGGAAGGCCGACAGCAGCACTCCTGCGGGCAAACAGCTCACCAAAGGTCAAAGCCACCCAATGCTTCGGGATCAGCAGCACCATTTCCGTCCACCCCACCCTACCCAGAGTCTCAGAGCTGCAATGAAAAAGTACATCACTGATATAATGTGTCTTCTAACAGTGAAGAACATGAGAAGGGAGGAAAGGAGAGGAAAGCAGAGGAGAGGGGAATCCAGCTGTGAAGCTATTTACTCTCCCACCCAAAACAGAGCTATTCCCAGAAGCACCGCTTAGTTTGCCTCAGTCAGAATGAACTTGGATAGCAAAATGTGCCATATAAACTATTTCAGTTATGAAACCGGTTACAGAGTGCTTACACAAACAATTTCACTCGTACACAGGTACTTGCCCATCTTAATTTACAGCCTTTTCCAGAACAGTCCCTCATCATCTGACTTTTTTTTTTTTAAGGAGTTACTCATTTTCTTTCATCTTTTAGACTCTGTATTCTCCTAAAACACAACCATCCACTGCTTTTGTAATCTTTTTTTTTTTCCAGCTGCAGTGCAATGTCAAGAAAACCCAAATGCCGTAAAAGAGTGCAAACATTTCAATTTTACCAACAGTAGAAACAGCATCAAAAAGATTTTGGATCCTGTTCATCTACCTGTGGCATTAGTAGTCAGTGGATGCTCTGTTGCTACAGTTAGAGAAAGGTCTTGCTCCTGTTGTTACTGCTATTGCCTTTTAAAGTGAAATGATAGTAGCACTCTGTTGAATGGTAGCATTTTACAGCAATTTAACTTCCTCCCTAAAGAAGCAAATCTGCATGAAAATTATCTGGAAAGCACAATCACATACACACAGTGTTTATATATATATACTCATATATATGCTGGCATTTTCAGAACAGCATATCAAAGGCCATAGGGATGAAGAATAAATTAGTTGGCAAGATTATTTTCTAAACTGATTTCCTAGAAAAGGAACCATTTCCTAAAAAAGCCTACCATTACTCTCCAACCTGTTCTTTGATGAAAAGTGCAGCTGATTTCTACCTTCATTCTTATTTACCTTCCATGAAAGCACCACTGAGGACCTAATGAAGAATGCTGGGTAATTCTGGCATTATTGGATTTTTGGTTATTTATTTATTAGACATGAGAGCTGTTATCACCAAGCAGCCAGGTGAGTCAAATCAGATAAAGCATTATCTGATTCCTGTGCTGTAAATCAGATTTTAATAGAGAAAAGATCTGTATCCCTTTGGGAGTGGAAAGAATATGTGTTCTGAGTGTCTGCTACACAATAGCAAGTATGGATAAAAATATTTTCTCTAATCAATTTTCCACCTTCTTCTCCAAGTTCTTTCACACATGAGAACTAAAATAAATGAAAATTCTGTTTGTGACAAGTGCTAGCAAATAACTAAGATAAGCATGCATAAAAGTATGCATATATGCTGCATTCTCAAACAGACATACAAAAAATACTGAATTCTGCAATATTAACAGACATTGTAATTTCTCTGCTGGCAGAATAACTTACAGATTTCTGTTTTGTCTCATTCAGCCATTAAAATGAGACCTTTGGTAGCCCAGACTTAACCTCAATGCACCTTCTATCCTAGGTATTTATCCTTGTCTTTGAATCTATAAAATCTTATGACAGCACCTGTAGACTGGACACAGATAATATTTGACTACCTCTTGAAGGTTTTACAAATTTTAATCAGCAGAGTGATCTAGAAATGCTCAGACAGAAATTCATGTTAAACATAAAAAACCTTGAGGCAAATCCAGCTCTTTCTTGTACTGCAGTCTTATTTGAATTTTAATTTGCTGGAAATTTTTGTTTGCAAAAATGAGGCTCCCCTCTCACCTAATGCATCCATGCTCGAACTAAAATCCTGAAATTATTTTACTGCCCAGATACTTAAATATTCTGAGGACTCAAAAATTACTTTTAAAGTCAAACTTGTCAGGTCACATCCAATTAATTCCAAAACAAACTGGAGGAATAGGTCTTTCATGCCATATTTGGTTTAAAAATTAAATTTCTTTTATGATTTACACATGAAAATGAATTTATAGCCAAACATTTTTATTTACTGAGGTTTATGAAGGTGTGTGCTCAGAGTGCCATAATGAATGAATAGGAAAAGCTCTGCTACTGCAGCCATCAGCAGCAAGGCTGACATCCACATCACACTTCACTATCTTCTTATTCCCTTTTCTTACCAGGTGAGCCTTTGCTTCTCCATCACAATTCACAGGAGGATTAATATTTTTAAAAGTTACTGTAAAACTACAGGCATTATAGAAGTCACCAACAAAATGGAAGCCTAATATCAAACTTAAACTATCTGAATGTAGGTCCTACTTTCCAGGGAAAAAAAATCCAACCAAGTCACAACTAACCATATGCTGTATATGAGCTATTGGTTTCCCTCCTGGGGAATGCAGCTGCACTTTAATTTTTTTCATCAGTATCTGAACAATAACATTATTCCAAGGTTATTCTGTATTTGGATGAGTAAAGGTTAGCTCTAGTCACTTGGGCAAGAGAGTAGTTTCAGGTTGTAGTGACCTTGATGTCTCAGACAGATTGAACATCTGCAAGGAAGACCAGATCATTTTTTGGTTTTATATATCTCTCTATACATACATCTGTGATTAATGGAGAAATAAATGAAGGAACTATGACCTACGAGAAACATGAATACTGAGTCTGAAAGCATAGCCTATAATGGGATGCACTGTACACATCACTAAGGAAAACACTGTAAAAGTCTGTTCTCTTTCCTCCTGGACACAGTAACAAGGGTGGGGAGAAGGAGAGATGATGGTGTAGTGTTAACATGAAACAAGTAGGAAACAGTCTCTTAAATATGTTTTTGTCCCCCCAAAAAAGAAAAAAAAAGATAAAATTAAGGGTAATAAAATTCCCCATAGGTCCACAGTTATTTATGTCTCTAAGAAACCTGAAGAAGTTTACTACAGCACAACTAGAATGACCAACATTGAGGAAACCGATATCTCAACCCAACCCTACATAGGAAAAATATTTGCTGCCATTGCGTATCCCCTCTGTGCCTTCCTTCAGCTGGCACAGTTGGACTAGCAATCCCTTTCTCCTTAGCTTCAGCAGACCAGGCAATCATAATTTGGTACTAACAAAGCCACAGAGCCATGTCATTTGTGGGAGCAAACAGACCATCTTTAAGATTACTGTCTTTCTAAAGAGCACCTTGTAAATCAGATGAAATTTTTGTCATTAAGGTCAAGAAATTTCTGATGTATCTGAAAAATGGCTTTTTAAACTAAGAGTAAAAACCACAAGAAAGGCTGCAGCCTCAATGCATCTTCCACATTCTGATCCATACAGTAGCCTTTTGCAATATGACATCAGGCTTCAGAGATGCTTTCTTCATTAACATAACGTTGGTTTGAGCTTTTTTCCCCTCACTGTGACAGGTAGAACATTTTCTGAGAAATTAGTATCTCAGTGCAATGGGCCACAAAATTCGCTTCATAACAGGAGATGACCAGATGCAGATTCAGAAACTTATTTGTCAACTGTACTTATAAGTACAAACGAAAATATCTGACACTTTTTCAAATTAAAAGAATGTCCCTTATACAATATAGTCAGCTCTTCCAATCCAATTTAAAAGGACAAAAACATTGCTAGCCTGGCATCTCTTCATCTGACAATTCTATCACATACCAAAATTAATGCCATATTTATATCTTTTATCATTAGTGAGCTAGTAATGCCTATCACCATCTTAATTGCACATGTTCAAGCTCTCAGTGGAGTAAGAAATTTCCTAGACTAGCAGATGTTCTGCTGCCTGGTACAGTGGGTGAATCTCAGATTTTAGCCAACAAAGGCACTGCACTGCAAACTGTGAGAACCATGTGCCCTTTCTACATGGGATGGCCCTAAAGCCTGGCCGTGTCAGACTGAGAGACCAGAGCCTCTCAATTATTGCTTTCCTCCCCCTCAAGTTTTAATGAATCTTTATTGAAAATATCCCATTACTTTCCTGTGTATATACATCCTGAATTACTCACTACAGGAGGAAGAGGCAGCAGGATGAGGGTTGCTTCAATTTTTTTTTTTTTTAATCATGAAACCTCCTTTTTTACAGATAAATGTCCCTGGTTCTAGATCAAATGCACCCTTTTCCACTTCAAAATAAGTAAAAAGATCTATTAATTCAGGGTTGACAAACAGACAATATAAATGAAGCAGTTCAGGAGAAGCGAGGTAGCTTTAATAATCTGTATCACATTATTATTTGTCTGTTGTAACTTTATGGCTTATAAACAGGAGTTTAGACACTAGTGGCTTCTCCTCCCTGGAGGGCAATGTATCAAGATGGTAATGTATCATGACCTCAACAAATGTTCTATTTGAAGAGTGCAATGACTCCCAAATGGAAAACATGTTTGGGCCTGTGATAGCTCAGATTTAAACATACTTCTCCTTTTTTTTTATTTTTTTTTTTTTTTTTTTTAAAAGACCCTTCATTTCTAAGAAAAAAAAGTGGCCTGGCAGGGATTCAGTGCCAGGCTCCACCTTCAAACTTGTAAGACCTTTCAGCACTGGTGGTGCAGGTGTAAATGTATGGTTAGGACCACATCCAACCCACCGTCCCAGAGGTGTCTGACTTACTGAGGTTCCACTTAAGGCCCGTCGTGGTCACGCTCTCGCAGGAGTTCCCGATGGGGATGAGGCCACACCAGCTGCCTTCCAGTCCCGTGTCCACACGCAGCTTGTGCTTGCCCTGCAAGATAGAAGCGTTTCTGGAGTCAGTGCTTGCCAGGCACCCAAACCTGCTCACAGACCTTGCAAATAAAGCGGGAAGTACTTAGATGGAGACAGATCCAGAATGTCCCCCAAGGGCCAAGGAATATTTTGTTGCAGTAGGAACTCAGGTCATTAATGTTTAGAGACTGAGGAGAGATGTGTGCTTAGCTTCCAGATCTCAGGGCTCTCAGAAGTTTGTTTCTTGGCTTTTCTAAGGAGGGTCTAGCTTTGTGCCTTCTTCCCTATCATTTTTTGAATAGGCACTTCTGCCAAAGCTAGGCTCTTTATTCCCATGAAATTAAGGCATCCTGATCCATTAATTCATTTTTTCCTCATCTAAACAGCTGTATTTCACTTCCTAAACAATGCTAGTCAAAGTGCCACTGAAACTCCTTCATTATTTTGACAACATCTGTAAGATTTCATGTACTTCTCCAGCCTGGTACTCTTCCCAGAAGGACGAATATGTGCAGAAACTTAACTAGCTGCTAGAGAAATTAACCTAAATATTTAGAGATACATGCTTACACTAAGTAAGAACAAAAAATGAAATTAAAATCTTTCTTTTGTACACCTAAGATAAATTTATCTTATATCTTTCCAGTTCATGGGATGCAGGAGAAACAACAGCTATTAATGATTATGGATTTGTGACAAAGCTTTTAATTAGGGCTTATAGACCTTGTGAGAACATCTTGCCAAGTATCAGCATATGAACAGTTGCAAAGAAGAGTAGATAGAGGTAATCTTTAACAGAATTAAAAAAAAGTGCTGAATGTTATAGTTCTGGCACAGTATGTGTTCTAAGAAACTAAGGAAGAGTTTATGGAAACTAACCACAAGAAAACAGCAAATGCAAAGTAGTGACAAGATCAGTGAAGAGACCATTCTCTGGTCTCTTCTACACAGATAATTTATTCTTTCAAGCAAACATGGGCTTCATCTGGGGGAAGCTTAAGAATCTTTGAGCGTTTATTTTATTCTCTTGTAGATGCATGGGCAAGTGAAACTCTTGAACATGTCTTTTACACAAACACTTCATCACTATAAATAAAATCACATATGCCTATTTATAAATACACCAGAATAAAAGGACTGTCTGAAACCAAATGAGTATTCACTAGAGCACTTTGTTAAACAAGAAACCAAGGTTTTATACCAAGAGAGAAAAAGAACAGTTGAACCATAAAAAATCAAGTAATTGGGGCAAAAATGCCCCAAGCAGCAAAAACAGTCTCACAAATTTTCTAAGGGAAATGTATTTAAGCTATTTTCTCATGCCCTGTCCTGTCATATGCTCATTTCACATGCTCTGGCAAACACGGAGTCACCAGTTAGAAAGTCAAAACTGGAGGCGAAATATCTTACTGCTGAGACATTGATGTCTGAGGCATTCAACAACTTCTCCTGTTAATGCCAAATGCATTATGAAGAAACAACTTCAATACATGTCATGCTCTCAGTTAACAAATGAACCTCGGAAAAGCTGTCAATTAGAGAGTATCAGATTGCATAGCTTAAGCCCATTTGATTGTTTGCAGAGCAACAAGAAAACCAATCCAATATCATCTGTCTTCTCAGGGTGTCCAGCTTCACGTGGTGATGAGCCACGTATATCAGTAGTGGTTGTGAATGCTTGCCTGCCAAATTCAGAGGTGTAACAAATTTAGGCTTGATAACCTTTTAGCTATGCAATATGCCATGCTACTTCTCTCTCACAGCACAGAGGGAGGAGGAAAGGGAGAGGTACAAGTCCAAGCTCTCTCTTATACGATTGCAAATATTGCCTGTAATGAAGTTGATAATGAAGGAGAGATGAAGGGGTGGGACTGTCTATTCCCAATGAATATTGCTGCTCAGAGCTACTCTAGGAGAGGAGCAAACTCACCATACTTATCTATTGGTAAGGGAATATGAAAAGCAGATGTAAAAGTAGCTGGTCCCACAGACAATCTGATAAAGTTCTGTGTTCTCAAAATCTATGTCCAACTACTATCAGGTTTGCATTTCCTATTCCATGACATTCTCGTCCAGCTTACAGATAAGGAAACAATTCAGTAGAAATTTATGCAGAAAGCTGTCTTCCTATGCTCATGAAATAAATTTTGTAAAACAAAAGATGACAGTACCAGAAGCTCACCAATATCTAGGATTTTACTGGGAGTCTTTCGATGTCTAGTACAACCCTAAAATCCCAGTTCACATGTTTCAGTGATTATGTGAGAACATTAACTTTCTTCCCTAAAAGCACATTTTCTAGCACTCAGTTGTGTTTTTCAAACTGGGAACCCAAAGGGCTAACCTACAGCAGCAGTAAACAGGAACTGAAATATTGAAATGCAAATTATTTTTTTAAAAAACCCCTCTGAACTGTTAGGCCAAATTTATGTCTTAGGGATTGCTCCACTAATTTAACAGAAGTTCTTAAGAACATTTTTTTAAAGACTTCTCTTTAAATAAGTCAATAAGGGTTCTTAATATTACTGGGGAGAGTGGTGGCAGAAAAATGAAATGGACATTGGGAAAAAAACCAAACAAAAGACTTCCAAGTAACCTACTAATTTTTGCCAAAAAAGGTTAACCAACCAAAGCATTTGCACAGTACTCTAAATTCAAAGCACCGTGAGCCTGCCATGGGGGAAATTCAGTGCCCAAGCTTATCTTCAAATTTTTGAGTACAGATCTCTCAACCAAGGAAGATGGAACTGATATTTTCAGGAGGAAGGGAGGATCAGAGCTTGTAATTTGCAAATACAAGTAATAATTTGTTCTATTTAAGTCTGTGTGATTAAAGGAACAATTATATACTGACACTTAAAATATCAAACTGTTTTCAGTTTCTGCAGAACTCGTAGTTCCAAAACTAGGTTTTAAAAGAAAACCAGAGTCTGACTAAATAAATTCCTCCTTCTTAAGTTTTTTTTCCTCTGTAGGAGATAACTGAAATATTTTCACATTTAACTTAGGAATCAAATATTACCATGTTTGAATGGTAATTCCTGGTGATAAAAGAATGGCAAATAATACAGTTGCATTGATTTTTATCTTATTAAGTCAGTTTTGAAAAACATTGATCAATCTTCAGCATTGATTTTTTTCCTTCATTTTGCCTGTGATGTTGGGAAATAAGATCAATTTCTGAGTTCAGCAATAAGAAGAAAATGTCAGAAGATATTTTTAAGAATTCTTCATCCACATAGGTTAAACTTTTCCTTTTGATTCTATTGTCTTGTGTTATAAAAGGCATTTAAGCAGTAGTGATTAAATATACACCCACTCCAACAGTATTTTCACTGAGGAAAGACCTAAAGACATATCTCTTAACTGAAGTGAATAGAAGCCTGATTGCCAGGAACTCATATACCTAACCCCATTCAAGGTGGTAAGATGCTAAAATCCTTAGTCAAAAATTTTCAAGCTGAAAAGCACACGAAGAGTATCAAGATAAAAGCCGATAGCTTCTCTGCATGTATAGATATCCCAGTACAGAGAAAATTACTTCTCCAAGTGCTTTTCAGACCAACTTGAATAAATGTGCTGCAATAAATGTACACTCTAAAGTAGACATCAAGCAACAAAAAATTATGAAAGAGAGAGAGAATGGGGACTGATCTTCAGTACTGCATTCTGAAGGGATCTGAAGGAGGGAAACCTGGAACTTGGCAGGCTGAACCTGTACACAGAGGAGAGGCACAAAGCCAGTTAACAAAATGCTGGGGAAGAATAAGGAATTAAAATTAAGCTTTAAAAAACAAATGAAGAAAGACATTGTAAGTAGATCTTGGAAACTGCTGAAGAACTAGGAAATGTGAAAGGTAACGGGGAAAGAAAAGGAATGAGTTACCCAATTAGAGGGCTAAGCAACCTTATTCTGATCTTCAGGCTGCCCTGATAGTTTCTCCAGTATAAACTAACCTACCAAATAATTTAGGTACAAGAAATCACCGATTTTCTAAAAGGTATACTGTCACCCGTGCTTGCTGTGAGATCTGGGACTAACAGAGAAACAGGATTTCTTGAGATTTAGCCAACTGCTCTACGATACCTCCCCCAGCTAGATCTTGTTTTCCATGATCTTTTGATAAAGCATCTCTTTTACAGCAACTTTCTTTCCATGATTATTCCATAGATGGCAGCACACACTTGAAAGCAACAACAGCAGCAAAAAACTAAATACAGATGTCATAGTGTTACCCAGGGAAAAGGCAAAAACCACAATTTGTTTTAGTACATAAACATCTGGGTGCAGAAAATTGTATATAGATAAAAGACTTGGGGAATGAGTGGAAATGAACACAATCACCAACGACTACAGCAGAGAGGAGGAGGAGAAAAGGAACAAGTATGAAACAAAGCTGAGAACATTTATGTTTAAAATCAAGTATCAGTTGTTCCAGAAATATTTCTACTAATCTTTAGTTGTGCAAGAGCTTGACTTAACAATAATAAAAGCTTTTAGGCTGAGATTCTGAGCAAGATAAATACAGCCAATTTTCTAAAAGGATGTACTTAAGAAGAGCCATTTTGTTATAACCCTAAAATATCGTCAATTGTCTTTTCACACAAATACGTATAGTGCCAAGTTGCTATTATGTGAATGCTATTCAAAGAACATTTTCTGAGCCAAACCAGGCTTTATGTTGTTGTTGAAAATAGAAGTAATCACAGTTCCAGCAAAAACTAAGAAGTCTAAAAGCTCTTGCCTGTCATATCAATGACTGCTTAAACACACATAGAAAAAACGGCAAATTTATTATATTTCAAAATAATATTGAAAACTGTTGGACCCAATCCTGCCAACCTCTACTATCAAATGTTTTTAGTGTTCCTGTATTGAAATGGATACAGTTCAGTATATCAGTTATTTGCAAGACAGGGCCTCACCAAGGCTATCCTTCAGGAGAAGCACTTCATAAAAAATGACTTTATAGTGAATAAATTCCCAGGCAGGAGAGAAAGAATATATTATAATCATTA